AGAATATTTTAAATTAGCTTTCAATTTTGATATTATTAGTTTTCATTTTAGTCAGTTTATGTGCGTTTGTCATTCATTTATTTATTACTGTTTTTAAATATTGCTATGTAGGTTTCATTTCTTTTATTACAGTTCTGTTTTAGTTCTAATTAAGTTGTAGTTTTTATTTTATTTCCAATTAGTAAATTTGAGTACTTTTTTCAGTTAGTTGCCAAGGCAAAATTTTGACTTCGTTTTTGATCTAATGTTTATATTCCAGAATTATATTAATTAACAAATGACTGTTTTTAGTAGTTTTAGTTTAACAATAACAACCCTGATCAACATGCAGTGACACGCTGACATAGCAAGCGTTTAGTCATGAACTCAGATTTTTCCCTTAATGAAATCCAGTCACAGCGGTCACATGGAATGGTCACCGGAAGCACATTTATGATGCATGCTAATGCCGTGATCTCTCTCGAGTGACCACTTATGATCAGATCACCTGAGATGGACCTCAGGGGAGACTTATAGTCAGTATTTTAGTTCATAGGGCTTCAGCTGTCAGAAACCCCCAGATCACGACACCACAGGGACTTCAGCAGAAATGTGAAACAGACTCTGAACTCTCTGCGTTACTCTCCTGCGCTCCACCAGGGGGAGGAGTCTGTCGCTCAGCCAATCACAGGCTGGAGGCGGGACAGAGAAAGCAGTGTGGACACGGGTTACCCGGGGTCAGCAGGGACGCCCATCACACTCCCGGAGCTGGAGGTCCAAGAGTGAGTCCACAGCACACATCTGCTGAAAACATGACTGACAAACACTCCTTATGATGCTTTCACAAACAATGAAAAAAAGACCTCAAACTGATGGTCTAGAGAAGTATGTGCATATGAAAACACATGTGAGCTACAAAACAGTGTGCAAAGAGTAAATCAAAAGCATTTTTCAGGACATTAGCAATCACAACCAGTTTGAACACTTCATCTCCTTATTCTTAATTCTGAATATTTTCCATATGCACTATAAAAATAATTTTTAAGTGTTTATTTAAAAAAAAAAAAAATTTTTTAGAAATAAATTAGATTATTGGAGTTTTTCTACCTCAGATTTCACATTTAATTCAGTGTGTTACTTGTTGTTTCTTGTTATTATTTGTGAAATTTGCAAATTGTGAAATCTCTCTCCTTCCCTCTCTATAGAAAATTTTTCACTTTTTATAGAAAATGTTTCATTTTTGCACATTAACTTTAAAAAAAAATTGTAATATTTAAAAAATATAAATATAAAAAATATAATAAAAATGTAAAAAATATATAATTAAAAAAAATAATATAAAACATTATTCCGATCTTATATACTAAAATAAGTCAATAGATTTTTTTTTTGTCTATATTTTTTTTTCTGTCTCATATCAACATCAGTGTTATTTTAGAATTATTTGTATACTATTATAATTTTTGCTAATATTTTAAAATAGCTTTTAATTTTTTATATTTTCAGTTTTCATTTTTCTTTTTAATAATTTTTTTTATGTGCCTTTGTCATTTTTATTAGTGTTGTAAACTTTTTGTTTTTACATTTTACCAAAATAAATACCAAATTGTTTCTACACCAGTGGTGTTTTACTAAAGCAATAAGCCCCGAGAAGCCGTGGTTTACAGTGTATTTATAACAGCCTAAAACCTTCTTAGCTGTTATAAATTCACTGTAAACCACGGCTTCGCGGGGCTTATTGCTTTTATAAAATGGTTATTCCATATACGTAGTAAGGTTGTAATAAACTGTAATGATATGAATAAAAACAGTGTTCTTCCACCAAACAATGTAGTTCCTCAGAAACAGTTGTGGTTGCAACAAAGTGGTTGCCGAGCAACACACAGTGTAGTTCCTCAGAAACAGTTGTGGTTGCAACAAAGTGGTTGCCGAGCAACAAAAGGTGTGTGTTTATAGAGTAATTTACAACAGCTTCGAACGCGGCTCAGCCAATCAGAATCAAGGACCGGAACTCTCCGTTTTATAAAATAATGGAAATGGAATTCTGCGAATGATGTTGTAACAAAAGCATGTGACGCAAATGAAAACTCTTATATTTAAGCATTTCGATTGAGTTAAATGTGTCCAGTACACATTTGTCCAATCGAGTCAAAGCTTTTGAAGATGTCAAAAGCAATTACACAAAGCAAACAAGTAACTGAAGGCAACTAGATAGAGTTCACAAATAGAAGTGCAGGTTTAACAATGTTGTGTGATGTTTGTTCTCAGTGCGCATGAATCCGAGGATCAGACGGATGATCAGCTGTCTGAACGTGAGGACACCGTGATCTCTGATGAACAGAAGAACATCAGTGAGACCCGAGACATCAGACCGACATCTGCAGCTACAGACGGTCAGATTCCTCTACACTAAACCTGACACACATATTCATGCCTTTTCTGTTTGATTAACAAATAATGTAATTATTCATCAAATTATGAATTCTAATTATTATTCATGTTAATTAAAACCGTGTTCTTGTTGATAGTAGTTTTGTTTACAGATGAGAGCAGCGCCGCTGATGTCACCGAGGCATCATGGTCCAATCAGAGCAGAGCTCACAGAAATCAGGTGACTGTGTGCTGCTCCATCAGTCTACAGAGATCACTAACTAATGATTTCATACATCACTGATAGATAGTTCGTCTGTTTTGAATGTTTTAAGGTCAAATACTGTTCAAAAAGACGTGGTTACACAGATCAATTGCATCGTTCATTCAGTCTAATGACACTAAGCTGTAAAGTTGAACGTTGTATATTGGAACGTCTGTACATAACTATACTGTTTGTTGTTTCTTATAATCACTTCCTGTTTCACATCATAAATATTTATACTTAAATCAACTTAAATGTACTTAAATCAATACCTCAAAATCTAAATTTATACTTCATATTTGTACTTAAATCAATATTTATTTAATGTATTTATGTATGTATTTATACTTTTTTAATAATACATTGTAGTGGTCGACCGATATTGTTTTTTTGACAGCCGATGCCGATATCTTGGAAAGCAGGGTGGCCGGTAGCTGATGGCCGATATAATTTTATTTATTTTAATTAATATTTAAGAAATTTTAAATAATTTGAAAATGGATAAAAAAATAAATGTGTAAAATAAACATATTTATACTTTACATGACAAAGTATTTTTCACAAATAAATAAATATTTAATAAAAATATAATTAAAAAGGAAGTAAACACTGTAACCAACAGGGCACTCAGCAATCTGGGAAGTTTGTGTGCATTAATCATATTTTTTTCAAGTAAAGCTAAGGTAACACTCATTTTACATACAGCACTCAGTGAAAATGGCATGAATATGACAGTGGGTAAAAGCATGAAGCGCAGCATAATTAGAAATCATGAGTTTAAAGTTAGTCGATCGCGCGTCTCCAGTGAAGCTGAACTCTCCTCCTGTCAGCATTCAATTTGCACGGACTGACCGTCACACAGAGAACACGCAATCATCAATCGTTATAATACTTTTTTGTATGCCGTCAAAATAAACATCCCGCCTCGAACGCATCGCCAAACAGAAAAACTTATCGGCCAATGCCGATATTTGAAAAATGCCAAATATCGGCCTATATATCGGTCGACCACTAATACATTGTAATAATACATAGTCATTTAAATCAATTAAATAGTTATTTAATACATTATTTATTTATTACTATTATTATTAATAATAATAATAGTAAATACTACTTTATCAGCAATGCTTATTTGTAATTATTTGTCAATACTTATTTATCCATAATATTGATTTATTAAAATATATAATTAATACTTTTTTTATTAGCACTAGTAGTAGTAATTCATATTATAAAGGTGTCTGTCACGATCACTTTCTTTTCACATCATAACATTTATACTCGAATCAATATTTATTTATCAGTAATATGTGTTCATTTATTATTGATAATCTTTCATTTATGTATCAATAATATTTATTTATTTAATAATAATAATTTATTTAATAATGCATTGTAATAATACAGTTATTAGTGGGTAATTAGTTATTTAATAATACTTATTTATAAATATTTAATCATATTAATAAAAATACTTTCTTTGTCAGTAATGATTATTTATCAGTACTAATTTATATATTAAAATATATAATTACTTATCAACAATAATTCATGTTATTATAAATATGCAATATTATTAATATATGTATTTATTTAGTTGGTCAGTTAGTGGCCAATAGCCATATCATTAGCAGGATAATATCCAGTTCTCCAGTTCATTAGATGCATCAGATCCGGATGTAAACAAGCTCTCCTGATGTTTCCACAGGCATTAACACTGGCTGATCTACAGCGTCCGGACACAGAGGAACATTCATTACAATCACAGTGAGTCTGTGCATGTGAACTTTAACCCTTGACACGTGCTCCATGCTCTTCAGTTACATATTAAGAGACTGTCTTTCGTTGGAAAGCTTGTGCAGTATGTCACAGGTTGCTGTAGCTTTCAGAGTGGTTTAGTCACAGGTGGTTCGGTTGTCACAAAGACGCTCACGTTACGCTCATCTGTGTGTGTTGTGTTTGTCTGATCTCATTTCAGATCGGAGGAAAAACACGTCTCCTGTGCGCCGCTGGACAGGTGACGATCATCTCATCTCTCAGCTAGGGATGTAACGATATTATCATAGCAAAACTGTCTCGATATTATCGTGGTCATATAAAACGATAGATCTTCCAGGCAAAAAGTGTAGTTTTTAAACTATACCGTATTGACCCGAATATAAGATGATGTTTTTTTCTTGGAAATACATCTGAAAAAACGCGGTCGTCTTATATTCAGGGTCTAGACTTTGACATGTCAATAATACACCCACAACAATAGGTGGCGCCAAATACGCATAAAACGAGTGTGCCATGAAATACGTAATGTAATCAGGGTCGTCTTATATTCGGGCCAATACGGTATTTAAACTTCATATTCTAACATAAAAGGTCTTTAAAGTTGTGTTTTGGCTAGTGGTTCAACGGATCACAAATCTCACGGTTCGGATCACATTACGGTTTTTGACCCACGGATCGGATAATTTTTCGGATCAGCAAGAAAAGAAAAATATTTAAATTTAACTTGCTTTCCATTTATTACTTAAAGCGAAGTACTTCTTTGATACCACAGCAAATACTACTAGATTAACTAAGAAAGTTTAAACATGATTAAAGAGACAAGAGGACAGCCAGTAAAAATAAGAACAAATACACAAATTACAAGCATAGTAAATATAACAGAATATGTTACAAATTAAATAAGGTTGGTAGTATTCAAATACAGAAATGTAATAATTAGGGAAAATAACACTGCATAGTGTTCACTGTATAAATTAAATATAGATTTTTAAATCACAGCTGTTTTGTTGTTTGATGATTATTTATGACAGCAGCAGTATTTATAGGGCGCTGTCTCTTTAAGACCTGATGCACGGATCCGATATAATGATACACATCACATCCGATTTCTTTCTCAGCTGTTTTCATTCACTTGAGACATAACTGACTGCTTGCTTGTGTAAATACGAACAAATGATAAACATATACTCTATTATGGTTAAATTTTGCAATTAATCCGCGGTCACATGCGTGCCGAACCGATCATGTCACAGATCAACTACGATCCGTTTAACCACTAGTTTTGGGCCATTATGCTTTGTCAAACAAACTCAAGCCGAAAGCACAATATGCTTAATGCCTTCATCAAGTCTGTTTTTGCTGCGTTTTAAAGCGAAGCACACATTGTTCATGCGATCAGCTCGTGATCCGGTGTTTTCTGCATCTCAGAACGGCTCGTTCACACTGAATGAATGCAGTCAACTCGTTTATTTCACGTGCTGTGAGTTTGGGAACAACGGCCACCAGTTATGCTTTATTTTCTCTGCAGATGATTACAGCGTTTCACTAGATTTGCAGTGAGACGTGTTTTTGTAAGCCTGTTTTCACTGAAGCTGGAGTTTCCTTCAGAATAAAAGCTCTACTGCCGTTTCCGTCAAAATAAAAGCTTTAAAGTGCAGTCCAAATTCAGTGTAGAAATTAGGAAAGAACTATTATAATTTCCCTACTGTAGTGTAAAGCATAATATAATATACCTATCAAATATTCATTTTCATTTGTTTTACAGTGCAGTTGTTTTGCAATATATGGATTTTACTGTCATTGTTGTTATTATAATTATTCTATTCTAATTTGTTTGGCTTCCTAAAACACCAGTGTGAGTGTAATTTAGACTGAGACAGTATACCACAAATAACAAGAGGCTTGAGTCCACTTTAAAGTTCAGGTGCAAGTCAATGCACTGAATTAAGTTTTCTTAGTTAAGAACATGGGTCGGAGTTAGGGCTGCACAATTAATCGAATTTCTAATCGCGATTACAATTACAGATGCCACAATTACATAATCGTTCAAAGCGGCAATTAATCGTTCAAAGTCCGCTTATGTTATCCTGCACGCTTAAGATGCGTTTTTTTCTTTCTACATGCTATCTTAAGGGTTTTTCCATTGTGTTAATTTGAGTTTTAGCATAACATTATAATACCATGGATATTTTTTACTTTTTATTTTAAGAAGAAACCAATCCAATATATATATATTTGACATTTGAGGCTTAATACTATAGAAAAGCAATAAAAGTTTTTCAGTTAGAGAGTTTTCAGCTTGTTTATTTTCATATAAAAAATATGGCATGCAGTTGCTTCAAACATAATTCAATGTAAATTGTGATAATCGTCATTAATAATCGCAATTACAATTTCGAGGGAATAATCGACAATTATGATTTTTGTCATAATTGTGCAGCCCTAGTCGGCGCTCTTAATTTTGAACTCTCAAAGTGCACTAGATTAGAATAATTTAACTTTAAAATGTACACAGTTTAAATTTTTTCCCCAATTCTTCATTTGCCTTTTTTTCTTTTCAAATATCGCAATAAATATCATATTGTGGACTTCATATCGCAATAATATCGTATCGTGAGATTCTGATATATCGTTACATCGTTACATCCCGTGTTTCTCTGAAAGCATCTGTGCTGCTTTCCTTTCAGACCTGAGCTCGCAGCTTCAGTCGGCGTTCAGCGGATAGACGCACCGTCATTACCCATGAGACCCGGCGCTGAAGCACCTCTCAGTGAACCCCAAACACAGACAGACCCCGTCAGACAGCTGCTCCAGGACGAGCTCTTCAGACTAGTGCAGGTGCGTCTGAGCCTCTTCATCACATCCCTGTTTAATAAACACATGCAGGACTCTGTGAAACTACGGAGGACAGTTCTGAGTATTTTATGTTAAATGCATCAATCTGCTGCACTTTGAGAGACCCATCCGTCACATTTGTAGTGTTCAAATTGAAGGTAAAAGTGGACTCAGACGTCTTTTTCTTTGTGATATACATTCACAATATAGTACTAATACAAATAATAACATATTACTATTTTAATACAACTGCACTGTAAAATAAATTTAAAAAAGTAAATATTTCATAATACTTTAAAGTAGGAAAATAATAATACTTTGTTCTTAATTTCTCATTTTGTTGGGAAACGTCAGTCTTTGTGAAAAAATGGTTTACAAACACGTCTTATTATAAATTTAGCGACACACTGTACTCATCTTTTTTTTTTTCACAAAATGATGCCAAAGCATCTGTTCATCAATAATTAATCTCTCTCTCTCTCTCTCGCTTTCAATTCAATTCTCTCTCTCTCTCTCTCTCTCTCTCTCTCTCTCTAAAGTTGTACTCCTTTCTTGTTGAGGTGTATGTAGTCATACATATGATGGGGCCGAATGTCTTTATGGTAAGCCAGGTGAACATTTGGAATGAGTGCACAGCTTCTGGAGAGTTCTGCATTGTTTCCATGGATCACGTGAAGAGGCACATCACTCCGTGGCAGTAACGTGGACAGAGTTATTTTAGCTTCTGGGAAGCGTTCTGAGGCTCTGAGGGCCACCTCTCTGAGCACAGGTGCCACGTTACCCTTCGCTGCTCGTAAGTCGTTGGTCCCTGTGTGGATTATGATGTGCTTGTAAGTTTCATTCAGATTTTTATCAGATAAGATCTGAAGAGCCTTGCTGGTATTTGGGCACCACATTTTCTGTGCTTTCATTTTTGGAAACAGGAGTTTCTCATTTATATATTTTCCGTTGGAGTCGATGAGAATAAGAGCTTCTGCTTGGGTGGGGTTGTGTGGAGCAGTGCGGTGGGCTTTGGTCTGTGGATCTGATGAAGAGCGAGGCTCATCCGCTGCAGGGGATTGCTGATTGTCAGTGGGGGTCTCTAGACAGCTCAGGTGTTTAGCGTGAGATGCTTTGGACGATGAAACGTGAAGTTGTTCCTTCATATTATTTATAAGTTCATCCTTCTTTCGAAGTTCTGATTTCAACACAGACAGTTCTTCCTGCATTTCTGTTTTAATTTCTGTTATCTGTCTTCTGAAAGTTGATTTGAATTCCTTCAGCTCTTCTCTAGCTTGGTGAAGCTCCTTTGACATCTGTTCTTTTGTTTCTCTGCAGGTATTCAGTCTCTTGTTTTAAATTCATCATGTCCTTTTTAAGCTGCTCCAAGTCGCTGTTGTCTTTTAGCTGGGACATTATTAATTCTTTTAGTTCCACCATATCTATTTCCAGGAGTGAAAATTTCTCTTTCATTTTTGACATGGGAGATTGAATTAAGGCTGTTGCAGTTGTTGTCTTCTTTTGGATGTCTTTTACAGGAGAAGAGTTTGTATTTGTATCTTTATGATCCTGCATGAAACTTGTATTAAGATGTGCCTGCTGTTTAATTTGTATAAAAGCAACTGTAAATGCTTGGAGCGCAGGCTCCGAGCCTTGGATCATGACAGTGCCGTTGTGGTATAAGTTCAGAGATAAAATTCTTGATTCCTCATTTCCTTCAGCATCTTCAAATACCAGGATCTGTCTGCCTTTACAGATGCCTCTTTTTGTGGTGAAGGTGAAGTGTTGGCAGAAAGCAGTATGCCATAAGGAGCTGCTTTCAGTGTAGAAGAGCAGGTTGGTCATTGAACTGCGGTCATAGTCAGCAAACAGTGCTTCAGGAGTGTCCTTGATCTGCTTCTGTCTGTGGAGCTGTTTAGAATGCTCCGAGCTCTTCTGAGGGTACACGAAGGGGCGGGGCTTGCATGCTGCAGCGGCCATCGCTGGTGTTCGAATGTAAACAAACAACTGAGAAAAACTGTCTCTTTGTTTGTTTTTGAGAGTTCCTCTGTTCCTCATCAATAATATATAAATAATAATATTTGATACATAATTTATTTAATGGTAATTTTTATTTCTAAATAATGATTACATTTGTATATATTATCTATATCATTTATAATAAGTATTATTATTAATAAATAAATAAATGAAAAGATGTTAAAGAGAATTGTTTGACATATGCTTTGCCAAAATAATGGCACAAAACACAATGTTAGAGACCATATGTGATTTATTTTTGTCAATAACATTTATTCATCTATAATATATTTATTAATTTAGCAATAATAACACCGTATCAATATGATTGATTTATTAATGAATATTGTATATGTATTAATAATGTTTGAAAATGATTTAATAAATAATAATTTTTTATTTAATAATATTTGCATTTGTATTTCTCAGTACTATTTATTTATTAATAATAAATATGTATTTGTCAAAAATGATTAATTGCAATTATTTATTTATTCATTAAAATGTTTATTAATAATAATTAATAAAAGAGTTGTTTGTTTGACATCAATCATTAGCACAAAAAACAACACTGGAGATGTTTTATCTAATTGTGAGATCTGTGAAAGTATTTTCGGTTCATTATGTAACTGGCGGAACAGATTAAATCTTTTTGGGCCGCCAGAGTCCAGGTAATTAATAGGAAACACTGATATGAATGATTCAGTGCCCAAACATTTACAGTTTCCTGTTTTCCTTCTGTTTCAGCTGCAGCAGATCAACTTCATGAGTCTCATGCAGGTTGTTGGAGCGTCTTTCTCAAACCTGCCGCTGTCTCGAGCCAACGTGCTTCCGTCCACTGCGATACCTGAACAGCACCAGTCTCAGCCCGTCTCTCTTACCCAGAATGCCCGGCACACTGTGTGTGATGATACCAGCCTCCCAACACGAGCCACCGGACCGGAAAGGGTTAACAACACCCAGGATTTACGTCCTGTGAATGTGAATCCACGTAATGAGAGGGAACAGAGAAACCCAACCCGCAAACCTCAGGTAATATTAGTAATTATTGAAATAATAAATAAATTACTTGGTAAAAATGGTATTTATTAATATTTTTGAATGTTGTTTTTCTATTTTCATATTTTATTTAGTTTTATTTGAATTTATTTTTATAGTTTTCATTTTAGTTTCAGTTTGTTTTAGTGAGTTTGTTACGTGCTTTTGGCATTTAAAAAAAAATTTATATTTCTAATTATCTTTATTTTTTATTACGTTTCATACATTTATATTAGACTTTATTTCAGCTTTATTTCAACTAACGAAAATTATTTGTAATAGTTATGTATCTATTTTACAAACGAATGTATTTTGGACATATAAGCTATAAGAATATGTACTCAAAATTCACAAAAATATCTGAAAACAGAAAATGTGCATTATCTAATGAGAAAGCTATTCGTACATTTTGAAACTACCCTTTAAAACTATTTAAATGGTATTAAAATGCTTATTTTACTTTTTTATGATCTTTTAACTTTGTACTCTGTTTACTTTCATTTTACTTTTTTTAAATGAACTTTTAATAACCAATCAAAAGAATAGGAATTGTTGGTAGATGCCAATAATTAAAATAAAATTCAAATTGATCAATAATAATAATCTATTTATCAATATTTTTGTATTCACTGATCATATATTTATTAATAATAATAATATATAATAAGTTATTTATTCATCAATATCATTTATTTAATAATAATAATAACAATAACAACTAGTTAAAGATTTATTTATATATTAAATGCATTTTTATTTATGTAATAATAATACTTATTTATTTATCATATTTATTTATAGTTATCAATAATAATAAATTATTATTTGTCATTAATGATGAATGATTAATCATTAATGATTGCTATTATTTGTCAGTATTTATCAATATATTAGTGGAAGTATTTATCAATATGTAATTGGAAGTCCAATTAAAAGAATAGGAATTGTTGGTTGATGCCAATAATTAAAGAAAAAATCTAATTGATCAATAATAATAATCTATTTATCAATGTTTTTATGTATTCATTGATCATATATTTATTATTAATAATAATATGTAATAACTTATTCATCAATATCATTTATTTAATAATAATAATAACTAGTTAATTATTTATTTAAATATTAAATACATTTTGTATGTAATAATACTTGTCATATTTATTTATATTTATCAATAATAATAAATTATTATTGGTCATTAATGACTATTTGCTATTATTTGTCAGTATTTATCAATATATTATTAAAAAATGTATGTATTGATTGAATATTTATTTATTTGCAAGTAGTCCTATCATAAGCAGGAAGTTGTACACTTAGCCATATGTGACCCTGGAGCACAAAACCAGTCATAAGCGTCAATTTTTCTAAATTGAGATAAAAGCTGAATAAATAATCTTTCCATTGATGTATGGTTTGTTAGGAGAGGACATAGTTACAGTAGGGAATTTACAAAATATCTTCATATTCATATCTTCTTTACTTAATATCCTAATGATTTTTGGCATGAAAGAAAAATGTATAATTTTGACCCATACAATGTATTGTTGGCTATTGCTCTAAATATATATCCCAGCGACTTAAGACTGCTTTTGTGCTCCAGGCTCACATATGTAATGACTGATATTAGAGTTGAATCTCTCACAGGAAGTCCAGCAGTTGAGCATCTGCTCAGACTGGCCGGAGGACGGTCGATCTCACGGCAGGAGTTTGATCCCGACGTCTCGGGGGCTTCTGAGCACCGCTGATAATCAGGCGTCTCTGCCGGCGTCCTCTGAAGCTCCAGTGACACACGGACTCAGACTCCTGCAGCTGCCTCCTCCTCCCGCTCCTCCAGACCTCACTTCATCTCATGCAAACCTCCCCCCCGCTCAGTCTGACTCCCCCTGTGTCCGGAGAGCAGCGTCAGCATCCGCGGCTCCTCCGTCTCTCCTTCAGACGCGCCGCTGTAGCGCTCCGATGAGTCGAGGAGCTCAGGGAGCGCTGCGTTTGCCTCCTGCTCCTGCTCTTCCTCTGCTGCGCTTTCACCCAGATACCCAGCGGCCCGTGACACTGCCTCATATCCCACAATCCACCACGGCAAAACATCCCAGTCTAGACCACTATCCCAGAATTCAGCTGCTGCACAGAGAGCCGGATCCACCCGCCGCTGTGAGTCTCCATTTACACCAACAACATTAGATTAACTAATCAGATTGTTATGGAAATACTTTTGCTATAATAGTTTGATTGCATCATATAATAATTGCTGTTAATATAATTCATCGTCTGTTTGATTACGTCTTTAATTGATTTTTACAGGGATTAAAGTTTTCAGTTCATAAAGAGAGTCACTTGCTTCATTCCTGAATGATTCAGCCGTTCGAACGAATCAATTGAATGAATGATTCAGTGATAAAATCAGTGACTTGCCGCCACCTGCTGGCGGATTTAGTTTCATTTTTAGCGTATAATTTCAGTTATTTAAATCATTTAATATTTCTGTATTCAAAATTTTATATTTAAAACATTAAACATTGAATACAGAAATATTAAATAATTTAAATAACTGAAATTATACGCTAAAAATGAAACTAAATCCGCCAGCTTTTAACAGCCATATGTACATTAACTGACGGTCATCACTGATAAGCTACTACTAAATATTGTAGAAACTTAATTTGCTGTAAAGTTGCTTTGCAACGATTTGTATCGTGAAAAGCGTTGTACAAATAAACTTGAAATACTTTACTATTTACTCTGAGCAGTAATCACATTTACTCATAACTTTTATATTTAATTTTATAACTTTGTATAATAGTTGAATATGTTATAATTATATTTTTATAATAGTAATAATAATGATGATGGCAATAATAATTTTTAATA